ACTTCCTTATTGATAATTCAATGGAGAAGTACTGTATCTGAGTTCTATATGAGTGTTTCGAAGCTGAAGGGCAAAAAACTTTCTATTAGTTTTCCCTGAGACGCTACGCACCAAAATCACTTTACTGCGGATGAAGAATCACATTGGGCCTAATCTTTAACTTCACAGAGCCAAGAAAATCTGAAGCGTTTCTTTTTTAATTCAGACATGCCACTGAAAAAGCCACAGCAGAGAGATATGGGCACATATAGAATTTCAAATGCATCTTTCCTGTATTCAAAATATTTAAATCAAACACAATGTAGTTCTGTGCTTCTTGCAACTCCCTGCCTTGGTAAATGTCTACCCTGAAGTTTAAATTCTTTTCTGGTGTATTGTACTATCAAGATACTTCCTACGAGTGCTTAGATTAAACGTTTTTTCATGTATCAACCACCAGTATGAAACCCAAAGCTCTCAAGTTTCATCAAATGTTTGGAGTGAGATTACATTAAGGGTGAACCCTGTGTCTCACGGTCAATGCGTGGGACTTGCGATCCCTGCCTGCTGCGTTCATCGGCTCTTGCTCTGCCACTTCCGCCTTGTCGGTACTCTGTGTGTTTGCACATCCACGTAATAACATGCTCGCATCGGGATCACATGTAATTTATTTTGGAATTTACCCGGAAACAACAAATGCTATTTTATGATTGGCTTGTAGGTGGTTATTAACTGTCAAATTCGATCGGCGCAGCTATGTACTCGGCGGAGAACTCCACTCTCTACACCTGTGCACCGTCCATTAATTCTATATAATGGGACACCTTGGAGGGTCCCTTCCTTCTCAGTGTGAGAAACACCGAGTGTGACGTGTGAACAGGTTGAAATGCATCACGGCCAATGCATGAGACTTCAGAGCCGTGATGATTCCCGTTCTCAAAGGCTAAAACGTCTCCGCAATTTAAGCTGCAGTTGTACAAAAACCTCTTGACTGTATGACCCTACAGTCTGAAGTGACTTTCTGTTTAAAAAAAAAAAAATCATTGACGGCTGACAGCTTCTGTATATTTATCGCTATTTTCTTATTTTACTAGTGATATGGCAGTGGAATACATCTCTTGCACACACTATATAAATGTGAGATAGGAGTTTCTGTGGAATTTCACATTACATTCTACCCGATTGGGTGGACAACTTTTTGTAGAAGCCAGGTTCCGTTAAAAGCAGGAACCGGACTGCCTGATGCTGAACTTGAAAATGCCACAACGTTTCAAACTAAAGCCCCATCTTCAGCGGGTGAACTGGGGAAAATGCCGGCACATTCGTGTCACGTACATCCTGTTAAGAGGTTATATAGCACTGTGGGCAAACACAGTAGGACCAATAGTTTCTGTTCCAGTTCTCTCATGACAGCTTTGTGTGACACTTTATAACTGTGAATGGCATTGTATTGACTAAGTACAGTGCAATTATTTGTGTTGCCCCATCGCCGATGCCTCCATGGAAACAGGCTGAGCTGCTGCCTAATGAGTGTTCAGCACATCACCGTGTCACAATGCTAAAGGCAACTCCCTCATATTTTCTAGCTCCACCACCTGCCACACACCAGCAAAGTGCAATAAAAAACAATCTGTGATTTGCAGGAAATCTTGAGACCAATGGAACAATAGATGGATAATTTACTGCTCCGCAATTTAGTAAGTCTACAATTGCATAATACTAGCACACACTATATTCATGAGTAACTCTTGAATAAAGTAGATTAGATGCACTCACAAAGGCAAGAGCCTAAAAACATACAATGATTGCTTTGTAGTAAACCTTACTCTGTGTGAATCTCTGACCTATTATTCTGGACATATTTTATGGACGACAACACTGCAGCTGATGATGTTAAGCTATTTAACTTTGGCCTCATTCACTCTAAAAGACTGACAGTTCTCTATCAGAAACAGAAAGCTCTTGTTTATACAGGAAGATGCAGGCTGATTTAAACACTGCTAATTAAATAGGAGTGAGGCTCACTGGGACCATTCAATCTGAACTGAATTCTTCCCCAGTTGCTAATTGGATCAACTCTGATGGATCATGCATAGAATTACAAAGTTGGAGGCTGGGGGAGTTTTAAGTGTCCTTGGGGGGCCATGTACCTATTAGTAACTGATGCCATCAGCTGATTTGTAAAGAACAGATGGACAGGATTAATTCCCTTGCTGCTCCATAGTGTTCTGCTGAAAAAGAAACTTGATGCACCTGTGTTCCGGCAGGCGATGGATCACTGGCCCCAGCTAAACAAAAGCAAAAGGTCATACAGTGGATTTCAAGACGGGCTTATCCCTGCTCACATAGATACAGCTTAACTGCAAATACTGCAGGATTCCACACACGTCTTGATAAACAAACACAATTCTGATCTAAGGTAATTTAAAAATGATAATGCTACATTTATATAGCAGACACAGTCAAAAGGGACGTACAAATGAGCATCAGAGAGCAGGTGAGGGGTAAGGGTCTTGCAGAAGGGCCCAATGGTGACGTCACTCTGCCAGGCCTGCTCACCTTGGGCATGAACATGGGGAAAGATCCTCCTTCACCCGTTAAACTTCACATCACTCAGTTAAAAATATTTATTATTACCACAGAGGCACCTTTAGAGGAGATGCTGATAATATATGACTAAGCCAGAATGTCCAGCAATTGTCAGCCATGCCTAGGATGGTATAAGAATGAAAATCAGTCACATTTCCTTCAAGGGAGTACTTGAAGAAGCTTCCTGTTAATATGTTAGTCAATCAATATGTGGGGGGGGGTTGTGTTTTTCTTTTTGGAAGGTGAGCAAAAATACTGCTTTGGTTGGTAACAGCAGTAAACTCAGCATAAGATATTTAAGCATTATACCAACTTCAAAGTTTTCCTTTCTCATGTTTATGATCCTCATATTTGGCTAAATTTGAAATTAAGCTGCCTGCAGGGATCCAATTATCATTCAGAAAGCTTTACTCTATACAAGTGAAGGCTCTCCACCTCATCTTCCTGTAAAATTTGAATATGGATATAAATCCAAATGCATTCCTACTAGCTGTAACAGAAAAAGAACTTGACTAAATGAGTGTGTGAGTCTGTGGTTTAGGGCACGTTACCCGTGATCAGAAGGTCACCAGTTGAAACCCAGGGTCGCTAGAGTGACTTCTCCATTAGACCTTTGAGCAAGACCCTTTGGGCAACCCCAGCTTCTCCAGGGCGGCTGATTCTGCTTCCTCAATTGCATGTTGTTTCAGATAAAAACATCTGCTAAATATATAGACATGAATCTAACAAGTGACCCACCTACAAATTATTTTTAAAAGCAAGCCACTTAAAGTGCACATAAAAACATATAAATAAAAGTTGTTGATACAATGAACTGTGCAATTCTCCTCCTTTAGATTAATCCTGAAATTGTGACCAAAAGAAATACAGACAATTCTAGCTGCACAGGATCAGGTTTGATAAAAACTCACACCCTTCTTCCTGATGCTTGATGAGCGGTAAGGGACAATTGCATCTGACAGAAGCACGTTTTTTTGAAGCTTTATAAAGGCAGGGAGACATCTCCCTGAAAGGCACATGCTCCAATTAATCACAGCCCCCACCTTATTCTGCCTGCTGCCCTAAACCACCCGACACCTGGAGGTATAATTTTCTGCACATTATTACAGATCCGTGTTAACTGTCAGACACACAGGTGAGAGTAAACAAACAAGCACAGATGGAATAGCAATTTTCTGCTGCATTTATACACGTTCGGCAATGGCATCATGACATCCTTCATCTTTCAAGGGCATGGTGTGCCTCGGACAAAACTGAGCAAATAAAGTTTAACTCCCAGATTTGCATTTCAGTTTTTATGAGTCACGTAGCAAATGCACTTAGTCAATCCTAAGTGGATCACACAGCAAATTTTAGACTAAGCCTATTTTGAAGAGCTGTTTTCCTATATTTATCAAGGCAGTTTAATATGATCTATGTCCTCAATTCCCACATCATTCGTTATTAAAGTCCAAATCATTGACTGAAGGCATGGATACTCACTGCTGCTATAAACGTGTTGTGTCAACGTGGAGGACCTTCAATTGGAGAGTTATTGAAAACATATGCAAACTTAGACCGAATAATAAATAATAATAATAACAACTGATACTTTATTGATCCTGTGGGTAAATTCTCTTTTTGCCCCTCCCCCGACTTGCTCTCTGTAGATGACAGCAAGCTGGCCAGAAAGGGCAGCACCCAGGGAGCTGGGGGTTAAGGGCCTTGCTCAAGGACCCGTGGATGTGCTGAAACTGGGCTGGAACCAGTGACCTTCTGATCACAGGCACAGAGGCTTAGCCCACCGAGCCACACGCTGCCCCCAAGTCCAGTAGATGTGGCGGATTTTAAGCCAAGCTAACACAGCAGCGCATGAACGATTCACCCTGTCAGTCATGCCATTTAGCATGCATCCTAAATGAACAGATTCACACCCTTTCTCCTCTCCCCAGTAAACAAACACAGGGAGTGAGATTACTGTCTCCTTAGCTTTTCTTGACCCGCTCTGAGAAGTTTAGTTCAGCAAACATCACATATTGGCTGGGGAGTGGCAGCGAAACATAACTCAAACTATATATAACAGCGAAGAAAACATCTTGTCCTGCATTTTACATATGCAAGTTTGACTTATAACATACAGCCAACTCCTGATAACACTTGGGGTTTCACTGTCACTTCAAAATCCAACAGTCCATAAAAAGGACGCCTTTGAACAATATGGCAGTGAGGCAGTTCAGAACACGGACCGTGACAATCAGTGGCAGAACGGCACAGAACAGAAGGCCTTACCTGGGCCTGAAAACATTCAAGAAAGCAATATAGGTCCAGCCAAGCGTTACGAAACAAATAAAAATAAAAAAGAAAAAGCGATTTTGCAAATGTTTTCACGTAAAAATAAGCATGTGGTGCCATATTTAAATGGAGAGGTAGATTTAAGGATTTAAGGAGCTTACATTGTCTGTTCGCAGCTTCTTTGCAGGGCATCCGCCATCCAGCGGGTGCAGCATGTAATACAGCCTCACTTTGTTTGCATGTTTCCGACTCTGTGAAGGGGAAAAGAGTTACGATCAAATTAACTTTAAAATAAAAAATTACTTGAAACATAAATACAATCCACAGGCGTCCACAGTGATGCGGGCGCTGCATCGGTCTGTCATGGTGAAGAAGGAGATGAGTCAAAAGGCAAAGTTCTCGATTTACCAGTCGATCTACGTTCCTACCCTCACCTATGGTCACGAGCTGTGGGTAGTGACCGAAAGAACGAGATCTTGAGTACAAGCGGCCGAAATGAGTTTCCTCCGCAGGGTGGCTGGACTGATCGCATTGAGAGGAGCCAGATGAGGTGGCTCGGGCATCTGCTTAGGATGCCTCCTGGACGCCTCCCTGGTGAGGTGTTCCGGGCATGTCCCACTGGGAGGAGGCCCCGGGGAAGACCCAGGACACGCTGGAGGGACTATGTCTCTCGGCTGGCCTGGGAACGCCTCGGGATTCCCCCGGAGGAGCTGGATGAAGTGGCCGGGGAGAGGGAAGTCTGGGTTTCCCTGCTGAGACTGCTGCCCCCGCGACCCGACCTCGGATAAGCGGGAGATAATGGATGGATGGATGGATAAATACAATCCAATGTCTAAATAAGCCAGGAATAAACAGATACAGTGTGACCAAAGAATGCTGTGGCATCATTTAGGGAATTGGTCAAGGTCATATTGAGTGTAGAAAAAATACAGAATTTTCAACTGGGATGAATATAGCACATCTATCTACAAAAAGAGCTTTCACTGATGTTCATGAACCTGTAAAAACCCCTAAGGAATCTGATTCCAAGAAGCAGGAAAAGTAGATTTAAGATGAATGGGTGGATGGATGGTGATACAAATGCTGTAGACCAGGGCTATTCAACTCACGGTCCTCGAGGGCTGAGCCCTGCTGATTTTCCAGCCTTCCTTCACCTGTGAGCCAGGTGTGAAGCCTCTGACCAATAAGAATCAGTAATTATTAAACTAACTACCTGGGAGAACTGAAAACAAGGCCTGGATTTGGAATCGAGGGCCTGAATTGAGTAGCCCTGCTGTAGACCATATCAGAACTGATACAGAAGTTCGTCCCCTATTATAGGCTTACTCAGGCAAATAACTGTCCCTTCAAACACCTGAAAACATAAACGGCAGAATGTTTTTAGCACAAGCCAAAGGTCCTATGTAATTATACCCACTGTCGTAATTTGTATTCGGCAATGGGAGTCCTGCCATAATATGGTCTTCATTAGAGTATATACGGGATACGTCTTTGAAAAAAAAATCTATGTAGTTAGTGAGTTTTATATATTTAAACTACAGTTCTTTGTTGAATTACATGAGGACTGACTGAGTTTTGGTTCCCAATACCGTAACATATTACTAAGGAAGCCTAAAATTTTGGCAGTCTCAACTCAAGAATTAAAAAAATGAGTTTTGCAAATTTGCTTTTTCAGTTAATAGCAGAAAACAGAGAAAGCACGACGAAGTGATGTGAGGTGGGTGACAGCTTGGTAGTTTGCTGTACAATCAAAAACGCACTTTTAAAGGAAAGGAACTGGAAAGTGGCACGTCGAGCACGGCTGGCAGGCGGCTCGGTCAGTAAGGGAGGCTTCATGGGGGCAGAATCGCTGAGCCTTGAGAGGAGGAAATGTGCTCCGAGTCCCGATGTGCATCAGATTGCCCTGTATCCACTTCAGAGTGAAACCTAAATACAGCCTCAGAGACGGTGACCTACTTAACAGGCATGTGGTTTTATCCGTTATTTTGTAAGGATTGTACTGGAACTAGAGCACATGTATGAGGCATCAAGTTTGGCTAAATCCAGGTTTCTACTCCTGGAAGAGATGAGCCAAAGACAGACTGTGCTGTCTTCAATTCCCGTTCTCAAAGTTGTCTGTTTTTTTCTTTTTTTCTTTATCAAATCATCCTACTCGACCTTTTAGAGTCCAAATTAATTACACGTTTACACTCACTAATTCAGTAGCTCAGTGGCTAATGATTTTGAACAGGCAGCTAATGTGCTGGGGCAGACATGATTAGTGTGTCGGACAATGCCAAGGTCAGACAACTGAAGACGGAGTTTGCAGTTAACCTCCTGGTGCAAAGAAAGGGAAGAAGCCATCAGCAACAGCCCTTCTAGGGAGCAGATCAGCTGAGATATTATGCAATGTTAGCCGCTCTTCAGTCCGTAGGCTAAAGCTCAGCATAACTTCCCCATTCCTGACCATCTTGATGATTATGCCATTTTAGCTGGAACTGGAAAGCGATAGCTTAAATGGTCTCTGAATATACTATTGACCAAATTAGCCACTCTTATGACCAACCAGCTGTCAGCCATCGCACCTTTATTCAAACAGGGGTGGTAATACATCCTTTTGGTGAACATCTATATCTGCTGTTTTTCAGTTTCATCGCTATAGCTTGATGTACAGACTACCTGACCGTTAAATGAACTGCTACAAGATAAGAAAAATAAAAAAAATAAAAATAAAATTTTGAACAGCAGCGGACTAATTGATGGGCTTGCGTCTGCACATGCTGTGATCTAGTCAATGGAGCAAAATCGTCTGGCATTACTGGCAGGCTTCCTCTGTTACTACTGTACTAGTGATGTATATTCTATTCTTGTTTTTTTAGATATCTTAGATTTAAAGGTCACTGTGCCCTTCATGCATTCAGGAGTACAGTGGTAGAATGAGGTAGAATCTGCTCAGCGAATCAATGTGTTAGTAAACGGGGAGCGAACTGGGTGCAGTGAGCTATGATAACAGCGAAAAAGACTCACTTTTCACCAGATAACAGTGAAGACTTCCTTTCTGCCATCAACCTCCTGTTAAATTGCCTACTTTGTCCTACAGGAAATCGTTTGTCACCTGCATCGGCCCTTGTTGCACCATCAGTCGACAGAGGACACTTTTCAATGAAGCTTGAACTGCACACTTATTTAAAGGGGAAAAAAAATCATGCTAAAAAAATCCAACACTTCATCTTTAAAAACTACACCTTTATAATACACACACGAACACATACATCATAAATGTATTAAATCTACACGAAGCAATTTATACTAAATCCTATTCCCATACCCTTCCTCATTTATCAATCTTAGCTACCTGTACAGGAAGTTAAGGAAATGCTCGACTGACAGTCCGCAACTAGACGACTTGAAAAGCGCAACACCCAAACAGCAAAAGAAAAGAACAAAATGGCTGAATCCACACCCACATCTGACGTATCCCATACGCATCATCTTCTCCTGCAGAGTAACCAGTCAGGTGACCTTCCCACTGAGCTGTCAAGCAATATCACTATGCCCCCCTCCCCAGTCCATCGTACTGAACCCCGCTCACTACAAGATGCTAGGACTGTGCTACTCAACACACAGCTGCGCACACCTGGGTTACAATGGTCCATGTTATGACATTTCGATGCATAAATGTTTTTCAGTTTCAGTACAATATTCCATAAATTACATGAGATATTCAACACTTTATTATAAAACAGGCTTTGTGTTAATGATTTTCCCCAACTGTAGGCTAATGTAAGTGTTTTAAGCATGTTTAAGGTAGGCTAGGCTAGGCTATGATATTTGTTAGGTTAGGTGTACTGTATTAAAATGCTTTTTCGCCTTACGAAACCTGGGGAGAGGCTGCATAGTATATAAGAAATATAATCTCCCAGTAAGTTACTGTGGATAACTGTACATTGAACTATTAATATTAATAACTCAAAGAACATTTTTCTATCTGGATCATTACACTGTGCAACTTTGATATCCTATAGTGTCCATTCCATCTGAGATAACATGGACTTTTCCTCCAACCAGGCCCAGTTACAAGATGAGTTTTAAACAGATAGTGAGAACTTGTTTATGACCGTTAATTTGCTTGCATGCTCCCAAAGTGTGTATGTGACAAAGTGCACCCCAACCGCGTAACGCAGGTCATTAGGTCACATAACGACACCCTGGCGACTGGATCCATTCTTACTGCTCTAACGTCATTCTCCGGGACTCTTCATTAGGTGCGGCTGCTAGTGGCGATGCGTAGCAGAGGCGGGGTGCCGTGTCGAGTGCTGCACGTCTGACGGACGGAAAGGACAAATAACTACCCAGAGTCACCATCCCCCGTGTTGAAGGTGAGTTAACAGGAACAAAAGTGCACGTGGCACATGGGCATTGAGTGTTATTGGAAAAAAAGATATTCAATTGTTGCTAGTGCACAGAACAAATCTGACAGTAGATCATGTAGACGCAGCATGTGAATTTTGGTGTTTATATTTTGCTATTGCGTATGAATAGATTTCAAATGCTACTGCAGACCTCAGGTACTACAACGGGTATGAATATTATGCACAAGTATGCACCCAATTTCGCTGTACTTTTACAATGATAATAAAGATTCTGATTCTGATACTCAAATTCTGCATTATAAAAACAAACAGAAATATGAAAAAACACCCGTATTTTCTGAAAACTTTTTCATCACCTTATGATGATGATAAATTTAATGTTTCCAGATTAGCCTGCATCTACATCACCGAAACAGCAACCCGTCTCAAACTCCCAGTAACAAGGTCCCCGTCACCCCTCCCCCCATCTACTCCCCACTCCTCCCACACCCCCCCAAACTCAACAATTTCTAGCCTTCTTAAACACTCCCCACCTCTCCAAAAATCTTTATTAAAAGCCCTGTCAATTTAAAACTTTGTATGATTTGCCTCAATGCAATCAGGTTCACCAGAACTGCATCTGTAGCTGTCCTTTCATGTGCCTTGACTAAGTGACGCTGCTTCAATTTGGGTGCAGTGTGTCCCAAAATGAAATATGGATTATCACACATACAATGTTCCGGGGAAGTTAGAAAAGGATCTACATTTTCTAAATACTATTAGAGTTCACAAGATCAAGTACCTGCTACAGCTGCCCTTTCCCTGGCCTGATGCCATCCAGCAGTGCTGTTTCAATTTTGGTGTGATTTGTGTCAAAATGATATCAGGTGTAGATATTTATTCATATAATTTTTTTGAAA